AATTAAATATATTTTATTAATAAAGAAAATTTTCTTTGCAAGTAAAATGAGTTTAGCGTACATACATATGTATGTACATATGTGCGCATTACTATACTTATACAGTATATGAAAATTACACGTGACTTATCTATAGGGGCATGCCCAAATATTTTCCTGTGCCCCCAACCCTATACTAGGAATGTGCTATGATAATACAAGTTACTCACATTATTTTTATTTTATTTTTTTTAGGGTATATTTGTCAATAATTAGAGCGAATTGGGTCTGTTGTGTGATTTCGGTTACAGATGTATTCACTATTTCTTATACTGTATACTTCTTTTTCTTAGTATTGTGGCTGGATCTCATGCTTCTAACTAACCAAGAATTCGACTACAAGTTGGTCACAAAATTATAGTTAAGATGAATAACAAACTGACAGTCACGAAAATTATTAGTAACAAACTTTGGATAATGATTCTCTTTCTCGATCGAATTCCATTTTTGGCATATTACTTGATACTATAACGTAAGGGATTTAATACTATCGGATTCTAATATACATCACTCTGGTTATATTGACATCTGAATATACCGCCATCTGGCTATTACATCCTTTGAAAATTTGAACCTATATATTTAATATGAAAATGGCTTTGGCTAAAATGACATTTTTTAAAAATTTGGACCTATATACTTAATATAAAATGCCTCTGGTCATGATGATATCGGACAATTTCTTGGTTTTTTTGAGACATCAGCGTGATGTATACTTAGAACTTCGAAGTTTATAAGTTTTTTGGAGATCATTTAGATACATTTTAAATTCTTTAACATATCTATTCTATCTGGCATATAAATTTAGGCTATATCTTATTTGCTAGATCACCACATTGAAGACGATTTATCCTTTACACCAGCCGTTTGTTACGAGTCTTTAATGAATGTGAGTATTTTCATTGAGTTTCAAGTGTTTAGCATACATGAGGGTGTAAGTTACGCTGCAGGGTTGTGACGACCAATCCTCCCTGTGTA